GGCCCTCAAATCCCTCTTGTATTGAACTGTATTGTCTCCCACTATAATGTAAAACACTGAGCAATTCGTTGGCGCTATATAAATCCTGTATAATAATAATAATTGTGCTGGTGGTGAGTGGAACCTTTCCCCCTTGTGCTGGTGGTCAGTGGAAATTTGCCCCTTGTGCTGGTGGTCATTGGAACTTTGCTCCCTTGTGCTGGTGGTCATTGGAACTTTTCCCCCTTGTGCTGGTGGTCAGTGGCACTTTGCCCCTTGTGCTGGTGGTCATTGGAACTTTGCCCCTTGTGCTGGTGGTCAGTGGAACTTTGCCCCCTTGTGCTGGTGGTCAAAGCTCTGTTATTGTGTTTTTCTTTTAAGACAAAAGATGTTAATGTACAGGTAGTTTTTTCTAAACTAAAACCTCTGTATTCAGGTTTAATTGAAGTTGTTGGCACTTTACAATAAACAAGTGGGTTTTGGGTTACAGTTTAGGCACTCGGTTTCCAAAAGGGTCGCCATCACTGGTCTAGGGGATCGCAGAGAAGAGATATACCTAATCTGCCGATCCTCCAAGCTCAAGACTGGTCCCTGCTGCTCCTGCCCCCCCCACCCCCACACACTAGCAGTCTTGTGAATGCACTGTTCCTGACGTCAATGCACCCATAGACCGGCTCTGGATGTGAAGACGGCAGGAACAGTCCACAGCTGGACAAGGGGGAGCGCTGTTTTCCAGGGGATTGAAGGATTGGGTAAGTATAGCCTTTCAATGCGCCCCTGGACAAAAGGAGCAGTTAACCCATGTACTGCAAGCACAGCCCCACTACATGGGAGGAAAAAAACATTTCTTGGAGTTCTGCTTTAAATACACTGCTACTCTATATATGTTACATGCCAGGAATGTATTCATGCAGACTTGTAAAAGCACTTAAACGTTTTCATGAATACTCTGTTCCTTTTTTCAGAATGTTTTAATGTAGCTTTGGCCCTGTACTGATTAATGTTCTAAGCAGCTCTTCAACTAAACTTGCATTGTAAAGCAAATAGCAACACACAACTGATAAGAAATCAATGTTCAATTTTTGACTGCTCTATACAGATAAAAAGTGAAACTTGATTGGTTGCTTACTGTACATCACAATGTCTTTGATCAGCCTTATAAAATAAATCATTTTGACTTATGTAGCTATACAGAAGCATCCAGGATATACTGTTACACGGCTCATCGGGAAGATGCATTGTTCAGAGGAATGTGTGTTCCATCTGCAGATTTTCAGTCTTCCAGTAAGCTTTTACCACTGTCCAGTGAAGTATTTGTATCAACATTCCTGTAATAAGCGCTCAGTCATTTTTTTTCGATGGCATACAATATTGGTAATTCGGCAGGACTTTAAGCATGCAGCTTGCTCATGCCTTTTTTCCTATATAAAAGCAAAGCAAGTAAATGGAGGCAATTCATGTAATACAGGGCACTGGCAGAAGAAAGACCACACTCTATATATTCATAAATACGTTAAAACCTTTTGTGCCTCTTCAAAACCATTTCAGTTGAGTATGTCGGATTTCCCTGTATAGCAAAATGGAAGAATTTCCCATCAAAACTGATTTCTAGACATATAGCTATATATAGAGTTAAGCTGGCCATACATTAGTAGATTTCTGAATGAACATTCATGTGAACATTCGTATGAAAATTCTTATCAGTGAAAGTTAATTTACATAATGAATAAAAATTCATTCAAAAATCATTCTAAAATACTTAAAAAAAAACCTTGCTTTTAACATTCAACTTTGGAATGAATGGAATTTCCTGAACAAAAATCATATTCACTGTTAGAAATGTGTTTCTTTGAGAAAACTTTTCCATCTCACTCCTTCAAATTTTCCTGCCACTGCAGTCAAAAACAATTGTTTATTTGACCCCCCTAAAGTTTGGAAAATCAAACAAATGTTCTTATGACAAAAAAATGTGAATACAATTCTGCTAGTGTATGGCCAATGTAAGTGAATAGATGCGGTCCTACTAACAGTTAGCCGACAGCTAGCTAGCAAAACTGACCAAAGCAGCATTGCCTTTTTTTCCAGAACTGAATATGCTTTAGGTCTGTAAAACTGCAATACAATTCCATAAACTGAGGTTACAATATGCTTTTATTTGGAATTTGCATGTTCTCCCTGTGCCTGCATGGGTTTCCTCCAAAGACATGCTGGTAGGTGAATTGGCTCCTGTCTAAATTAGCCCTAGTATGTGTATGTATGAATGTAAGTTAGGGACCTTAGATTGTACACCCCTTGAACGTAAGTGACTGATATGAATGTACAATATTCAGGTGAAACTCGAAAAATTTGAATATTGTGCAAAAGTTCATTTATTTCAGTAATGCAACTTAAAAGGTGAAACTAATATATGAGATAGACTCGTTACATACAATGCAAGATAGTTCAAGCCGTGATTTGTCATCACTGTGATGATTATGGCTTACAGCTCTTGAAAACCCCAAATCCACAATCTCAGAAAATTAGAATATTACATGCAATCAATAAAACAAGGATTGTACATAGAACAATATCGGAACTCTGAAAAGTATAAGCATGCATATGTACTCAGTACTTGGTTTGGGCCCCTTTTGCAGTAATTACTGCCTCAATGCGGCGTGGCATGGAAGCTATCAGCCTGTGGCACTGCTGAGGTGTTATGGAAGACCAGGATGCTTCAATAGCGGCCTTCAGCTCTTCTGCATTGTTCGGTCTCATGTCTCATCTTTCTCTTGGCAATGCCCCATAGATTCTCTATGGGGTTCAGGTCAGGCGAGTTTGCTGGCCAATCAAGCACAGTAATCCCATGGTCATTGAACCAGGTTTTGGTGCTTTTGGCAGTGTGAACAGGTGCCAAGTTCTGCTGGAAAATTAACTCAGCATCCCCATAAAGGTCGTCTGCGGAAGGAAGCATGAAGTGCTCCAAAATCTCCTGGTAGACGGCTGCATTGACCCTGGACTTAATGAAGCACAGTGGACCAACACCAGCAGATGACATGGCTCCCCAAATCAACACAGACTGTGGAAACTTCACACTGGACTTCAAGCATCTTGCAGTGTGTGCCTCTCCATTCTTCCTCCATACTCTGGGTCCTTGGTTTCCAAATGAGATGCAAAAGTTGCTCTCATCAGAACAGAGGACTTTGGACCACTGAGCAACAGACCAGGTCTGTTTTTCTTTAGCCCAGGTAAGACACTTCTGCCGTTGTTTATTGTTCAGGAGCGGCTTGACAAGAGGAATACGACATTTGAAGCCCATTTCCAGGATCCGTCTGTGTGTGGTGGCTCTTGATGCACTGACTCCAGCCTCAGTCCACTCCTTGAAAGTTCCCAACACATTTGAATGGCCTTTTCCTGACAATCCTCTCCAGGCTGCGGTCATCCCTGCTGCTTGTGCACCTTTTTCTTCCACACTTTTCCCTTCAACATAACTTTCTATTAATGTGCTTTGATACAGCACTTTGGGAACATCCAACTTCTTTTGCAATTACCTTTTGAGGCTTTCCCTCCTTATGGAGGGTGTCAATGATGGTTTTCTGCACAACTGTCAGGTCAGCAGTCTTTCCCATGATTGTGATTCCTACTGAACCAGACTGAGAGACCATTTAAAGGCTCAGGAACCCTTTGCAGGTGTTATGGCTTAATTAGCTGATTAGAGTGGGACACTTTGAGCCGAGAATATTGTAACTTTTCACAATATTATAATTTTCTGAGATTGTGGATTTGGGGTTTTCATGAGCTGTAAGCCATAATCATCACAATTATGACAAATCACGGCTTGAACTATCTTGCTTTGCATGTAATGAGTCTATCTCATATATTAGTTTCACCTTTTAAGTTGCATTACTGAAATAAATTAACTTTTGCACGATATTCTAATTTTTCGAGTTTCACCTGTATATATGTAAAGAACTGCGTAAATTGACGGCACTATATAACATTGACAAAATAAATAACATTTCAATATAGCATAGCTTTAACAAACAATGAATAGACTTACAGGCATATGTGTATTAAAGGGAAAAATGAGAGCTTCACTTATGTATTCTTTTGGAAGCTGAAATGGCACTGCAGTGATTTGTGGATAATCTTTACTAACAAAAAAGACACTTCCTGTTCCTTGGTTCTGAAGAAAATAAAAAGGGTGAAATTGCCATGAAATAGATGGCTTCCTATTTAACACAATAATCTGATAGACAGTACAGAATATTTTTGTCAATCTATTTGTCATTCTGTTCTCACTGTTTTGATTTATACAACCCTGGCATACTGTAAAGTCAGAAAGGGTGGCACCACTATTGAGACCATAGCAAAAGGGAAATACCAGCAGTCTATGTAATGTTTTGCTCCGAAAAGAATGCCTGGGTGGAACAGATGTTGTTTTATTAACATTGGGATTTTTTGTTTTGTAGAAGATTTGTGTTTTGTGATGTATTGCCAGTGGTTTAGCTTTAGTGGTCCTCAAGCTCTGGCAATATTGTTTAACCACTTGCCTACCAGGCACTTATACCCCCTTATTTACCAGGCCAATTTTCAGCTTTCAGCGCTGCCGCACTTTGATTGAGAATTGCGCGGTCATGCAACATTGTACCCATATGAAATTTTGTTCATTTTTTTCTCACAAATAGAGCTTTCTTTCGGTGGTATTTAATCGCCACTGCGCATTTTATTTTTTGCGCTATAAATAAAAAAAGTACAAAAAATTTGAAAAAAAAAAAAAAGTTTTTTTTGTTTCTATTATAAAATTTTTCAAACAGGCAATTTTTCTCCTTCACTGATGTGCGTTGATGAGGCAGCACTGATGGGCACTGATAGGCGGCACTGATGGGCACTGATAGGCAGCACTAAAGGGCACTGATAGGCAGTACTAATGAGGTGGCACGGATAGGCGGCACGGATAGACAGCACTAATGAGGTGTCACGGATAGGCGGCACTAATATGCAGCACTGATAGGCGGCACTGATAGGTGACACTGATGATGGGTACTGATAGACGGCACTGACTGGCATCACTGCTGGGCACTGACTGGCGGCACTGACTGGCACAACCGCTGGATACTGACTGATGGCACTGACTGGCAGCACTGCTGGGTTGCACTGGTGGGTGGCACTGGTGGGCAGCACTGGTGGGTGGGCACAGGTGGGTGGCACTGCTGGGCACAGGTAGGTGGCACTTCTGGGCACAGGTGGGTGACACTGCAGAGTGGCACAGGTGGGTGCACTGCTGGGCACAGGTGGGTGATCTGCAGGGCACAGGTGGGCGGAGCTAGTGGGCGCACTGCTGGGCACAGGTGGGCGGAACTTGCGGGTGCCACTGCTGGGCACCGATCATCAGGGCACTGATCATCAGTGCCGTGATGATCGGTGCCGATCCCCGCTCTGACAACTGCCGGTTCTCGGCAGTACTTTCCTCACGATCTGACAGCGTGAGGAAAGTGCAGCCGAGAACCGGCACTTGTATTTCCCTCTGATCAGCGTGTCATTGGACACCGCTGATCAGGTGGTAAAAGGCCGCTGTGATTGGCCTTTTACCACATCACGTGATCAGCTGTGTCCGTAGGACACAGCGATCACGGAGATCGCCGGGTGCGCGCCCCCTGGGGCGCGCAGGAGAGCACGTTCTGGGCGGACGTCATATGACGTCCACCCAGAACTGGCCGGCCGCAGTGCAGCCGTCATTCGGCTATCTGCGGTCAGCAACAAGTTAAAGTGCAATTTCAGTCAAATATTAACTAAGCCTAAGCCTTTTCTATCTACTGTGTGGAAGGAAAAATCTGTATACCTACCTATTCTGAGGCAGCTCCAGTCTGGTCACATTATCAGGTCTCAGCGCTGGCTTCAGCGTAGGGGAGGGACAGCCTGTCGGTGATCTCCCCACTTCACTGAAGCTGGCTGTGGCAGTTGTGCGCATGGAAACATGGACCTGACAACCATTTTGTTAAGGTCTCCCATCTTGTGTCCTGGTCTGCAGATATCATTCTCACTCTTTCCAGTCCCCCCCTCCCCTTTGAATGGAACGTGGTCTGTGTGTGTGCACTGGGGGTCACAAGTGCATAAGGCACAGCTGGATAAGTTTCATGGTTGTAACCCCATTTAAGCCTGGTGCCAGAGGGTCTGATAAACACTTTCATCTGCCCGGTCGTAAAAACTATAACTCAGTCGGTCACTTGACATGTAAGCATTACCTCAGAGTGGCCATAAAACGTACATTTCACATGAGTCATTTCTCATACAAATTCATAAACATCCGCAGGAACTGAGCACATTGATATAAAGCATATATTCAGATAGGTCATTTTAATATGAGTCACCTGACACCTTACATCCCTAGGTAGCGTCTACAAGAGAGTAGAAAGCAATATATTTTTATCCGGAATGGCAGGATATGCCATATTTGGTGTCTGGACATTCAGAATATTCTGCATATTAATCTGCCAGTGGCTAGGATGCTACATGCTACATTGAAGGTTATTGACCATGGTATAAACTTGTGAGGGATTTGGTCATAACCTGGGTCCCTGCCTAACACCCCTCCCCAAATGAGGCGATTTGGTCCTTGGCTTCAGGAGACACCCCCTGCTGGGATACTAGAAAAAGGCTGACATGCCTGGAGCAAAAAAAAGAAGAGATACTTCCCTTTTTAACATCAGGAACATCTTTGGGAGAAAGGCAACCCCTTTTCTTCGGACGTTTTGCAAGTATCCTACCTTCTGAAACTTCTTTCTTTTATTGCTCTGTTGTTGTTTTATTGCTCTCTCTCTCTCTCTCTCTCTCTCTCTCTCTCTCTATATATATATATATATATATATATATATATATATTTGTTACATCTTTTTCTGTAAATATTTTAATTGCACCAATTTGACCTTTTTAGTAATAAATCCTATTTTCTGAAAAGTGTTGAAACTGTCTCTAAAGCTTCTAGTGCAAACAAAAAGAATCCCTGTCTCTGAAGTGTGCTACTGTATGTGATAATCCTCTGAAATACATCTGTCTGTGGTGGCAGTGTGTATTACAGACACTTATATTAATATCATAGTGTTACTGCTAAGAGTTGTGAGTTCTCTCCTTCTCTGTAAAAAGGTGGTGGTGGCAGTGTGAAGGGTTAATTGCGTAATTTAACCTAACCCAGTAACAATCGCTCTCAGGCGGCTGGCACATAGATTGTGGTCCCGCAAGCTGGAAAATCTTTGTGCAGGGTGCAGCTGAGAGTGGCATTGTTACGCAAGTGACAGCGCAGTCTGGGATCGGCTGGTCCTTCGGTCACAAGTTGGTGAGAAGGGCTGGGGTCTGACGCCGCGCACCGTCACACTGGCCATTGGAGAGATCATGTGAGTGGACCAGAGTGCCCTCAGCATAGGTAAGTATAGACTTCTTTTCTTTACAGAGTAGTCAGAATGAGTTTAGAATGGGGGTGTAAAGTAGGTTTAGGTTTCGTTACTATTTGTGGACTATATTTCCACTATACTTCCATTTTAAGTAATAAAACAATCAAGTATCTAACCTTATAATAAATATTTGGTTAGATCGAGTGAATTGGCCAGGGTTCGATTTTCTGGCCGTTTGTCAAAACTGTTGTGAACTTTTAAAACTGCAAACTTTTATCCGAACCCCATTAAAGTCTATGGGAAGGTGAGAAATCTTGAAAGTCAATTCTGGCCATTTTCAAGTATTATATGTTCAAAATTGTAAAAAAAAAAAAAGGCATAGGGAGCCAGGCACTGTTATTGAGGACATGTACCAATGCAAAAAAAAAAAAAAACATTTGTCAGAAAGAGGATCTCTCTTTTTTTGTGACTCTGGGCACGGCATAAGTAAAACACCTGTGATTTCTGTCACATGCTTGGGAGATGCCCTTTAGCTGTATGTGGTATTACTGATCAGTATGATTCTCAAGACATTGTATTTTGGCATCAGATATTATTTTGGATGTGTACCTGATTTTTTTTTTAAATTCTACATTTAGCTTGGCTTCAGCAGCAGTATCAAATTTGATTCATGTTAAAAGCTTTTTTAGGTAGTTTGGGGAGCGACTCCTGATGGTTAATTTCTTTATTAGGTCAGGACTTCTGTGCCCAAGTCGTCTGTACCATGTATGAATGCAGTTTTAATGTTTTCTTCTACCTCATTGCAGTTCATCTGATACAGTTCATTTGTAAATTTAGCCCTTGCAAGTAAGATATCCCCTTTTGTGATGGCACAACTGTCATCTTGGTAGGTAACTACATTGCCTTGTTTTGTGAGCTTCTTCACTAACAAGATTTGTTTTAAGAGCAGGGACATAGAGAACATTTTTCACAGATATCTTTCTGGTGACACTCTGGGAAATAGGACTATAAAGAAAACTGTCTCCTATCCCTTCTGATTCTATTATTTGCCCATTAGCTGTGGTGATTTTTTTCTGTTTACTCTGGTCAAGGTGAATGAAAACATTTCTGTCATTTGTCATGTGACTCGTAGCTCCTGAATCAACACACTATGCTTGAAAAGATGAGGTGCAACTTTTGGATTGAAAACATTATTCATAATCAATTTCTTCCTTTGAACTTTTGCAATTTTGTAGTTTGGTTTGTTTTTGTATTCTAGCTTTCCAGATTCTGCAATCTGCTTTTAACCCCTTCCTGCCCAGTGTCATTAGTACATTAGTCATTGAAATGTCAGTGGCAGTTAGTCAGTTCCCCCCCCCCGGTGTTACAATGCCCGCCGCAGTCCCCCTATAAGTTGCTGATTGCCACCATTATTAGTATTAAAAGAAAAAAAAATCCAGTATATATACCACCATTTGTAAACGCTATAACTCTCAGGTAAACCAATAAATGTACACGTATTGGGATTTTTTTTAGCAAAGACATGTAGCAGAATACATTTTGGCCTAAATTTATGAAGTTTGATTTTAAATTTTTTTTTTTACTGGATATATTTTATAGCAAAACGTCAAAAATATTTTTTTTTTCTAAATTGTTGGTCTTTTTTTGTTTATAGAGCAAAAAATTAAAAACACAGAGGTGATCAAATTCCACCGAAAAAAAGCTCCATTTGTGGGAAAGCTTCATTTTGGTGCAGCATTGCATGACCGCACAATTATCAGTTAAAATAACACAGCGCCATATCGCAAAAATGTCCTGGTCAAGAAGGGGGGTAAATCCTCTGGAAGGCAAGTGGTTAAGCTGCAATCAGTAGCGGACGGGAGTGCTTGTAGGCTGTGTCAGGCTGCTTTATTTCACTTGCACCCACAGCAATGTTGACCTGACTTGCAGTGATCGACCGACAGCAAGGCCACAGAACGCTACATATTTAAGTCAATGAGGAAGTGCTGCAAACACCTCAAAACCGTATACAGTACATGTAGTTGCGGCAAATTTGTCAGAAAAAATGGGGTTAAAACAGGCAGAGAGGAGGTGTTTCTTACCACCTGTTAGGAGCCTGCAAATCGGGCTTCAGAAGCAGGGGAGTTTTAGATGCATCTAAATCTACCCTTACTATGTTCTTTGTCTCTTTTTTTTTTTTTTATTTATCAACAGGTACAATATTATTTTTAATATTTTTCATTGGGGGGGCTGCTTTGAAGAGACATCAGGGGTCTACAGTATACAAACCTCTAATCTTTTTTTGAGACAGAGAAAGGGACTGAAGACAGTCCCTTTCAGAGAGAGATCACTTTAAATCCTTCATGACGGAGGGTAAAAAAAAAATCCTAAAGCCTAAGCACAGTTTTGCAACTTTGGCATGTGTTAGTAAAACTGTACATATCATTGCAACTACTTTTTGTATCCAGGTGGCTTATACCTTGTTTGTTTTTTCTCAGGACAAATTGGGCTTTCAATTTATGGTAATGGGTATCTCCTGATTTTATTTTTTTTTTTTATCTTTGAAAAACTGGCTCAAAAGATTTCTTTTTTTAATGTAGCTGTGCACTTCTTGCTATTACCATAACTTACCACCAAAGAACAACCCAAAATAAATTCTCTTGCTCCTGACAATCGCAGCAATACCACATACGTGCATTATTTGTTGTTTGTACATGTAGTAGGGTCCAGAAACAGTGGTGCGCAGAATGCTGCAGGTAGACGGATTCCAAGCATGCCCCACTTTCAGTTTTTCTGACTTTCAAAGCATTGGCTGACCTGGAACCCATATACCTGTATGAATCACCCCATATGTCCCAGTTCCCTCCCTCCATTGCACAGAAGAAACTCTCACTCAACCCTGCTGATCAGTAGACCCTTTCCCTGGACATATTTACATGGGAATTATAATGCATTTTTCTAAACAATTTAAATATACTGTAAACACTAATAGTTTTTAGGTTTTTTTTTTCACAAACATTTATTGCAGTTTTCTTCTATGGTGCGGTACTTGTAGAGCATGCTGGGCTTCTAAATAAGAATGTTCACTTATAGTTATTGTGCTTTTGCAGATAGAAAATCTAGACAAAGGAGGGATTGGGATTTATTCATTT